TATGGCCTCTGCCTTGTTTCGCTTGTATGCCGTTTCAAACGTGTGTAAGTATAAATTCAAATTCAAAGTAATCAGTAATAGAAAAATGAGTGCAAAAATGCATTTTTATAATATGTATGTCGCTAAATTGAAGGGTTAATTTTAAATCGGCCTTCAAACTAATCTGGAAAATGCAGATAAAGGTGATCTGACCAGATACAAGGGATTATTTCTTGTCTCTGGATCTGACCGCACAGACGTCCGAACATTTCACACCTCCCACCCCAAGCTCCTTCATGAACCACCCTAGTTGGATCTATAAAACTTTCAATGCGACCAGATTTCTTCAGTTGATCAACAGACTTCGTCCCGGTTTTACCAAGTTTTCCTGCATTTTGAGTTTATTATTCGTGTGTGTGTTCTTGGTGATCGCATCCTGTACCGAAGCGGTATTTTCAATTGCAGTACTAAGTTGTGCTTGTTTCCAAAGTGTGTATCAATGGCAAAGAACGTTCGCCGTCAATCAGAAGAACTGGAAGTTCTGAAGGCGATTTTTGAAGATAAATGGAAACAATGTCGAGTAGTCCCAGATAGATACACCATTGACATTGCCAAAGACCTCGAGCTGAGCATAACTCTGAACAAGTCATACCCCTCGGATAGAGCGCCAGAATATGATATTTGGGCTCCGAATTTGGATAAGCGCCAAAAACATCTAATCGACGAAGAATTTGAGAAGATCTACCGGTAAGTGTATATTAGTGCTCCTGTCGACGTGATAATCTCAAAACAAACAACATTTTTCCGCAAAACGCCGTTTTCCACCGAACAAAGATCGCCACATGCAGACCATGCGGTTCACCGAACATCCCACAACATGAGGGATGTTCTGTGATTCTCCATTACATGTTAACTTATTTCTCCAAGCACACGCCCTTTCAACAAAAACACACTTTCCTTTGTTGAAAATCAGCTTCTAGGATTTAAGATAAAAAGTTAACCTTCAAATCAAATGTTTACGTGACATGAGTTGTCACATGTGAAGAACGCGCATGCCGCACGGCGTTGCCTGCATGATCCTACTTTCCTAAAGCTCATTATAAAAATAATTTTGCATTATATCAGCAGTTGAGTGTCTCTGGTGTAGTTTCACAAGGTTACTGAAATGTTAGTTTTTGAAAAAAAAACGTACATTAATTTAACGTTTTTAGTTATTCATGCACACGTATTCGATGCATGCATTACGTTTTACAGGGTGCGATGTTAAACCCCACATTAAAGACAAATCGATCAAGCGTACCAACTATTCACTATACGTGAAAAATCCAAAGTTTGTTTGTTTTGAGGTTACAATTATATTGCCAAGGGAATTGTTGTGATTAGATATGGCACGTTGAAACCGACGGAAAAATGGCTTCCGATGGGCTATCCAAGATTCTAGAAAATTGGTCAGCGATTTGGCATCGATGTCCAATTGTCGATGCATTTGTTTACGTTTTTCTATGGGAGCAATATTGGTTCACAGTCTATACAAAAGTAGGTACTTTGCTCGGTATTCAATTTGATATATTTGAGTGGCATCAACAAGAAAATAGTTAAAAAATTGCGTTACTATTATGGCGTTTATAATGTCAAACATATAATCTAGAGATAAAAGTCAGAAAATGAATGAATCTTTCATGCTTAGAATAAATCGATAATACAGATTTTTACTACGCCTATGGCTGGCAGCCGGGCGAGTTGATTTTCCGATTAATTCCACTCTTCGATCAGTACCTACTTTATCCCTACCACCGGTTTTTCATTGATAAATCGCCGATCGATAGAACTTAATGTTGGTCCAGAGATGCCAGGTCTACCGATTTTTCGGTAGATCTACCGATACCATGCAGATTTCTACCGAAAAGTATCAAATAAAATTTTAAAAAATTATCCGTGGATTACTTATAATAATCTAACATATTTCCATTCATGATCAAAGTACGTTGGTAATGGCAGACATTTTATTTTAGCACACCTCGTATTTTAGAGTTCTTTTTCAAACATAAAA